CATCCCAATTAACTACATCCTTAGATTTCGTTTTTCTTCTCACCAGGAATTGTTTTTATTTACTGATGGACATGCATAGGCCTTTTCAAACTGTTCATGGGGTGACAAACCTAGACAGCATATTAAATAGCGGAGACATCAATTTGCTGACAAAGGTCTGTATAGTCAAAGCTATGGTTTTTCCAATAGTCATGTATGGATGTGAGAGTTGGACCACAAAGAAGGCTGAGGCCCGAGGAACTGATGCTTTTGAACTGTGGTGTTGGAGAAGGCTCTTGAGAGTCCCTTGGACAGCAAGGAGATCAAACCAGCCAATCCTAAAGGAAATCAACCCTGAATATTCATCGAAGTACTGATGCTGAAGCTCAAGCTCCAATACTTTGGCCACCTGATGCGAAGAGTTAACTCATTGGAAAAGACCCTGATGCTGGAAAAGACTGAAGGCAAAAGAAGAGGGTGACAGAGGATGAGATAGGAATCATCGACTGATGATTGTGGACATGAGTTTGAGCAAACTCTGGGAGATGGTGAAGGACAGGGAAGCCTGGCGTGCTGCAGTCCATGAGATCGCAAAAAGTCGGACAGGACTGAGCAACTGAATAACAACAACACTTTCTCCTTAAGGGTAACTTCTTTTTCCAGCTGTGACCCTCTAATCAGGTCTGGGAAGATGTAAGTGGAAAACAGAAGGTAGAGGAGGAAAGGCTGCAAAGAGGCCACGCACAGGGTAGAACTTCCCGGCCATTTCTATCAGCTTGGGCAGGACCCTGGAGGCACAACTGAACAGAGAAGCAAGGCACACCAGCCTAGGTTAAAAGTTTGGCCCACACCTGCCACATCCGCTCCAGGACTGCAATTCCCAGAGCTCTCCGCGACAGGGGAGGCCTTGGGTGCGCAGGTGCACACCTGGCCTCCCCGGTCAGCTGGAAGCGCGAGCTGTGCAAAAGTGGCTAGGTGTAAGCTCCGAGTCCTCTAAGGTGAAGCTTAGCGGCGGCCCTCAGGGTGTAGCCCAATGGCCCGCTCTGCTGTGGCCGGTCCAGGAAGGCAGCAGCGTTTTCTGCAGTGGGCACACCCCGCGGGCAGCCCTTTGAGGAGCCGAGGACAGATTGCGCGTCTTTGCACGGAAAGGGGTCCAGGTCCCCACTGTTCGTGGAGGGCGGGAGCTGGCCTGGTGCCCCTCTTCTCTGAAGAGTCCAGGGCTTAAAGTGAAGGATGGGGAATTGCAACTGGCCAGGCAGTCAGGCGGACCCCGTACCCAGTGCTGTGCGCAGGAATTCAACTGGGAACTGGCCACCGGGACATCACCCTGAGACACAGGCTTCCGCACTCCTCTTCTGCGCCTCCCTCGTCCGTAGCCAGTGGCCCCTGTTTGTGTGCCTTTAATGGCCTCTGGGTGCCATCCACCTCTTTCCCTTTAGATTTTCCTGACGCTGGACACCTTACCGAGACCAAGTCTTGCCCAATAGCTGCCTCTTAACAGGACCCTGCTACAGATCCTGGGCGTTTGAATAAGATGGCGTTAGAGAAAATTTAAACTGTTCTTTTGTTGTGGCCACTACCGAAATTTTAGGAAGAGTGAAGGAGCCATCTGGCAGGAGGCTCCACTCCAACACCTCCAAGAGTCAATCATTGAAAACAGGCAAGTCACCTTGCTCTGAAAGTTGCTCAGCTCCGAGTTCTGGAAAAGGTTTTTGCTTCAAACTTGTTTCTTCCCATGAGATTCCAGAACAGTCCCCTCTCCCCAACCCCCCTCCCCCACACCGTGTTCTTTTCTCCTGCTATAGCCTTTATGAAGTTGTAACATGTAGTGTAGAAAACACTTTATGTATCTGTCTATCAGACTTTCTCAAAGGCAGTGACACGAATAGGAGTCTGAGGAGGGATGGAGAAGGAAAGACTAAAGGATATAGTACAGGGTCTTGGTAGGTGCTGAGTGTGTATTTAATGAATGAAAAAAAAACAAAAGTTCTGCTTATATTACAGGTGCCCCTGAAAGACTCTGGTTGGTGTGGATCTTCTCCAGAGCCAATCCAAGAGAGGATGGCTGTATCACTAACAGCAGCTAAAACTCTGGCCCTTCTAGGTACACAGGATCAAGAAAAGGTTATGATGATGGAGCCAAAGGAAGAGAAACAGACTTGGGAATGTGAGACCAGACTACATGGGAACCACTCTGCTAGTTAAGAGATCTTCTGCCAGCGCTTCAGGCAGCTCTGTTACCAAGAGGCTCCTGGTCCCCGGGAGGCCCTGAGCCAACTAAGGGTCCTCTGCTGTGAGAGGCTGAGGTCTGAGAGTTACAGCAAGGAGCAGATCCTAGAGTTATGGGTACTGAAAGAATTCCTGACCATCCTGCCCAAGGAACTCCAATCCTGGGTGTGGGGACATCACCCAAAGAGTGGAGAGAAGGCTGTGACTGTGCTCGAGGATTTAGAGAAAGGACTCAATGAATCAGGACCCCAGGTGGAAAGGGGAACATATGATCTGTTGTGGGAATCAGATCAACGACCTTCCAGCCTGACAGAGGGGCAGTAGTAGGGGGAGTTGCCAAGTTCAAAACTGTTTAGGGCCAAGCAGAACACTGAGTGTGTGTTTCTGTCTTTCCTGCCTTCAAGCCCTGAGTGAGACTCTTGCTCTTCTTCCTGCCCCTGTGCTGTGAGGAGGCTCTCTAAAGTCTCCTTGAAAGCTTTGGTCCCACAGAAACCAAGTGGTACCTGATCACCCCCAGGTCCCAGGCCTTGCGTGTGGACCTGCATGGGAAGAGCGATGGGAGAAGGCAGCTCTGGGAGCAGCCCGGGAGAAACCAAGCTTCCAGCTGCAGCCTATGGAGCCCAGGCCCTTCCCAGAGAGTGGGGAGGGAGGGAAGGAGGAGGGAGTATATAGGGCACAGAGCAGGAGCTCAGAAGCTGTCATCATCCTGGCCTCACTGTTCTTATCACTTAGGTGAGAGATGTCATCACCCACAAAATTAGGAATAATGATAACCTACCTTATGTAGTAGCTCTAAGGATTAAATTTCTAGTGTATCTGGCTATAAAACCTCACCAGCATCTCTTGGTTTAGACAGCCCTAAGTGTGTGCATGCTCAGTAGTGTCCGACTCTTTGTGACCCTATGGACTGCAGCTCACCAGGCTCCTCTGTACATGGGATTTTCCAAGCAAGAATACTAGAGTGGGTTGCCATCTCCTTTTCTAGAGGTCTTCCCAACCCAAGGATCAAACCCGCATCTCCCGTGTCTCCCACACTGCAGGTGGATTCTTTACTGCTGAGCCACTGGGGAAGCCCCGAGAGCCCTGAAGCAGGACCAGAAAATACTTCATTCACTTTTGGCCTCATCATTTTCACTGCCCTGAGCTACAGGCCAGCCTGGAAATCTTTTCTCTTTGAACTTTTTCATGGCTCCCAAAACACAGTTTGTAATCTGTAAGGCATTCCATATGAGACACAGCCTGTCATTACCTTTCTCTACCACGTACTCCCCATCCAGAAGCCCCATGTGAAACTCTCTTCTGTCTACACTTCTGCCCTTCAGATTTACCACAAGAACTTCCTCCCCAGCTTCCATCCATCCCCATAAAGATCCTCTCCTCTCTGTCTATGGCTGACGCTAGACTGAGAGCCTCAGGACCATGAACTGTCCTTGCTGAGCACTGTATAACCTCATAAACCATTGAAAACGTGACATGAATATGTTGCTAATCAAGAAGATTCTATAACACTTGGTTTTACACCATAACTCCATCACCACAAGACAGAAGCATCTGAAAATTCAAATTCTTATTAGCAACAAAACAGGAAAAACAAAAAAACAGATTAATCTTAGTGTCTATTCCAAAAGTACGTTTTTACTTCCCAGCACTTCCTTCCCTTTCTTGCAGAGTTTTCCTTGTCTCCTTTACCTCTGTTTCATAAGTCTCTCTTCAGAGCTAACTATTGTTTGAAATTTTTTTCCTAGTAAGCATGTTTCATATTTCTTTAACCACAAGCATTTAACCTGGAAAAAAGATGTATTTTTTAAGTTTGTCATTACCTTACAGCCACTGTTGTTTGTCCTTTTTAGATTATAGAAAGCATTACAGACAATTAAAACCACAAAGTGTTACAGGCCTTTTAAAGATGAAAAGGCAAAGCATTTGTCTCTTCTTTTTTTAAAGAGCAGGTCAAAGGGAAAGGCCGAGAGCACCAAGCAGGCAGTCATCCCTTCAGTAAAGAACCAGCCGGTTGGGGACCCTTTTCTGTGACTACAGATTGGAGGAGCAAGGGTTGACTGGGAAGAGGTGAAGGTCACAAAGTCAGAGGGGCAGGGTCTTTGCACCTTTAGGAACATCCTTTTCCATCACCCTGTGATTCTCATTTTTCCTTTTCTATACAACATCAGTTAACCATTCCCCAGTTTCTTGAAAATATTAACTTCTTCTCATATTTTTAAAGAGTAAATAAATACTAAAAAGATCCTGCCTTGAAATTTATTTTATTTTTCAAATAACACTTTTGCAGTGTTCTATAAATTTAAAAATTAGGGGAAAAAAAAAACAAATAAGGAGAAGGGACGAGAAAAAAAGGAGAAGCTTCCTGTACACAGTCCCATTACCAAGAGATGACCTCATATTTAAGTGACTGTCCTTCTGAATTCTGTCGAGTGTATATTGAATATTTTTTAAGCTTTTATTTTCATGCCAGAAATCCTAATCTGAGTGTCATTTCTCTGTACACTCAAAACAGGCATATCTGCAGTTTCCATCAAACGTTGCAGAAGATGATGCAGAGACCAAGGACAAAGGGTCATTGCCACAACCACCCATTACTGAAGTGGAATCACAGGTGCTCAGAGAAAAACTCACCACTAGCACCACTACCTTTGAAGCTGCCTCTGAAGGTGAGGGCCCTTTAAAGCAGCAGCAGAGAAATCTTAAAAGGGAGAGACTGAGGGAATCCCCCTCTCAGGGGAAAAGCTTCAGACAGATGATTGTAACCCATAAGATAACTCCCACAGGGAAGAAAGACCATAAATGCAGTGAATGTGGTAAAGCCTTCATTTATAACTCACACCTTATCATCCACCAGAGAATTCATTCAGGAGAGAAAATCTATAAGTACAGTGACTGTGGGAAAATGTTCAACCAGAGTTCAGACCTCATTCAGCATCAGAGAATTCATACAGGAGAGAAACCCTACAAGCGCTATGCCTGTGGGAAGTCCTTCAGGTGGAGTGCTCATCTTGTTCAGCATCAGAGGATTCATTCGGGGGAGAAGCCCTACAAGTGTAATGAGTGTGGGAAAGCCTTCAGTCAAAGCTCCTGTCTAAGTCAGCGTCTGAGAATCCACGGTGGCAAGAAACCTGTCATCTGTAAAGAATGTGGGAAAGCCTACAGATGGAGTTCCAAGCTTATCAGACACCAAAGAGTTCATGCCACATGAGAAGAGCCTTCCACATGGCAGTCCATGTGGGTGAGAAAGTCTCCAGGCAGAGTTGTACTTTTGTCTAATCAGTGTTAGGACTAGATTCCATAAAAGTTATAAGCGCCTTAAGATTTTTCCCGTGTCTTTCTTGATTTAGGAAAAACTGTTACCTAGTCCTACTACCTGCAGGTCATCATTTCACACCCTCTGTTTGAGATGACTGTATCAAGTAGCATACCTTTGGCTTCAAGTAACAGCCAACATGCCAACTTCATTAGAGTTCTGGGTCCGGCACAGAGCTGCTGTGCAGGTAATGGCCATCCTATATTAGTATTCTTATGAATGGGTCTTTGGTCCTGGCTCTTCCTCAGCCCCACAGTAATCTGCCTATTGGGACAGGATCCCATCTACAGCTGTCCAACCATGAGACAGAAACCACACTTGTTATTTGAGCAGGGAAAGTTTAATATAAAGAAGTATTAACTAGTCAAGGGGAATGATCTATTAAAGGAGATAAAGAGATCTTAAGAATATAGGACCAGGAGCATGGGGAACAGCTATTACCTCTAGGGAGAGCCACACACAAATAGCCCAGGACTCTGGACTGGTGTGGCTGCTCTAGTGGTGGGTGAGAGCTGGTCTGTAGAGGCATGCAACAGTCAGTTTGCACCTTTTCACCAGCCTGCATTGAAGTTGGTGATGGTGGGAGTTTACTGTGGAAGTCAGGACTTTATTAAAAAAACAAACAAACAAAAAAAAAACAGTTGTTAAATATTGACCAACATGACATCGGCTGGTAAGGTTCATCAAGGTGATACAGGCCAGGGCAGGAAGCCACTGGTTGAGGTACCTGCAAACTCACCAGAGGACAGGTGCCACATGGTAAGGACAAGAAGGGAAAACTACCAGGACCAGAAGCCCCTTCCTCTTTGCTTTGTCCCTCCAGCGCCCTCTAGTGGCAAAGGCCTTCCTGATTCTCAGATAAGAGTTTTTATTTCTTTCTCACATAAACGTCCAGACATGAGCTGGCTGTCAGCAGACAGCCCGCAGGCCAAATCCAGCTCGTGACCAGTTTTTTTTTAATAACCCACAAGCTAAGAATCACTTTTATATTTTTAAATGTAAAAAATCAGGGGGAAAAAGAAAGAAGCGTGGCTCACAAAGCCTGAAATGTTTACTTCTGGTGGCTTTACAGGAAAAGTTTGCCAAGCCCTGGTCTAAGGGACAGCTGAGTTTAGTTTCACCAGATACTTCAAGGACCCACCTTGCTCCTCCATCCCCTAGACTAGGATGGGTTTGCCTGCATGGTTGATGCTGGATCATTACTGTATCCACATTCCAGCTCCTAGGAAGAGTGAAGTAACAGTTTCAAGGACAGGCAGTTTCCTTTTCACCAGGTGTTACAGAAGGTGCCCCAACTGAATCTTGGTGAAGATTCAGTTACACTGCCACATCCACCTACCGCTGGGAAACACCTCCAGCTGGGTGACAGTTTGACCAATTAAAACCCAAGGGGAAGGAGAGAACCAATTTAGAAAGACAATTGGCAGTGCTCTACCCCTTGGAACATCTCCCCACTTCTGCAACCTGGTGCTGCAGGTTGACTGGGGAAGGAGTGTCCTGGTTCCAGAAACGGCACAGTAGGATCAGGGAAGCAGAGGATGACTCCCACTTGGGAGTCAAGGGAGTGGAGTGTGGATTACAGTCCTCCTGTGACCACAGCTCAGCTCAGAGAATGGGGACGTACCCAGCAGATCAGGGTTAAAGAAAAGTTTGTCTCCTTTCTTGAAGACTTTTTGGGTAATCTTCGGAAGCTGACCCAGACCTTCGCTCACTCCAATGTATAACCACACTTTCTAGCAAAAGGTGTCAAATTATCAACTCTGCAGGCCCCCTGCCCTCATCCCCTCCACATCTGTCTTCTTAGTCCCTCCAGCAGCCTCAGACAACAATGCTTTCTTCTTTCTGAAGCCAAACCTGCTTTCTGTACCTTGAGTCTGTCCTTTCCCACTGCCACTAAGTTAAATTTTAGTATTTAGTTATTAGATAATTATCTCAACAGGCCTGGTTGTAAGTCGGCAGGCACCTGGGGGACAGCAAGCGAACGTCTGGGAACAGCGTAAGGAATCCCACCTTGAAATGCGAAACATCCTCACGAACGACCTGAGAACGACACCGGCTCAGGTCCCGGGTGGTGGGCGCCCCTGGACTTGACTTGGGGGTCAGCGTAGCAGCGCTCACTCCGGGCCCTCAGACCTCTCGCCCCACAGGTCACCAGCAAAAAGGCAGCTCGGGCCTCGGCCAATCAGCGCGGCGTGCCTCCCGCCCTGCCCGTCAGGTGGCGCACGGAGGAGGGGTGCCCGGCTTCCATCTGCAAGGCTCCCCATCTGCAAGGCTCGCGCCCTGACTCGACGCAGCTCCTTCCTCTTGATCCCGGAGGCAGTGGCGGTCGAGCGCCTTCGATGACTTCTTAAAGGTTTGGAGGTGCCGGCAAAGTTGGGTCCACCGATAAAAACACTGCCTCTAAAGCGTGGTACAAATAAGTAGAACATCAGCGTTCTCGTCGGCGGCACAGCAGGAGAGATGAGAGTCGCGGCCGAGTCCCCGTGAGAAGCCCGGAGCTGGAGACAGGGATGTGGCAGGGTCGGCAAGGGCCTGGGGAAGGGTGAGCTCGCGTCCTGGCTGGCCTCGTTGGCCAGCGCTCCCCAGCTCTCAGGGAGGAGGCGGGCTTCCTGCTCCATGGGAGAACCGAAGCATTCTCTCCTACTTCCACTTCGCGGCGCTGACCGCTGCTGCAGAATTCAGGTCTCCACCAGCCTCGTGGCACGCAGCCCCCGCGCAGCCCACAGGTCCAGTCGCGTCGTAGGCGCTCAGCCTGAGGTTGATGAATGTCCAAGGACCCACCTTATTGAAGCTCTGCCCTCAGGTTATCACCAGAATCGCGCCCCACTTCCCACTGGATTTTACTGAGGCTCCAACTCCCGTCCATTTTCAGGGGTTCACCCAAGGGCACAGTCTTGGCATAGCTTTATCTCCAATGCGGAGGGAATATGATAAAGGAGAGGTTATTGCGGATTACTTGGTAATTTGTGTTATAAGTAAACGTTTGATTTCAAAACGTGTAAGGGACTACAGGAGTTCAAAGATGGGTTTCAGATGGTCCATGAATTCCCTGAATTTGCATGCACATTTTTCTAGGCAGAATTTTCTGGAGTTTCAAAGATCCCAGACCCAACAACCTGAGGCCAGGAGTGCCTTAGACCAGGAGTCACTTAAAAGAACATATTTTTTTAAAAAAAGAACATATTAAAACAAAACATAAACACCAGCCCAGAAATCTCAGTAACATTTAAAAATAAAAAGAACCATTCAGATGATGGGGGAGGGGTTGCTTTTATTTTTTTGCCCGCTCAGCTTGTGGGATCCTAGTTCCCCCACCAGGTATTGAACCGTACCCTCAGGCAGTGAAAGCATGGAGTCCTAACCACTGGCCCACCACGAAATTCCAATCCAGAATATCTTACATTAAGTTGTTAATCATGAAAAACTGTATCTATCTAGATAAAGAAAGTAGGTAACATTTACCCTGTTATGAAAGATTGAGGATCTCACCAAGCAAAGCAGATCAAGGACAGTGAACAGCATTGCAAAACTGAAAGGTACTACAGCACATGTTGGTGAAATTTATAGTTTGTATAGTACTAAGGAACTTTATAGGATGGCAAGAAACTGGCAAAACTTTTTTTTTTCTGCCCTGCTAGGCAGATGGGATCTTAGTTCCTCAACAGGGATGCAAACTGTGCCCCCCTGCAGTACAAGCAAGGAGTCTTAACCACTGGACCACCAGGAAAGCCCCAAAGTCACATTAAGACCATAATGAAACAATGTATGTTGGAATGCCCATTAGAAAGGCATCAAATCAATAGAATTGTAAATAAATACTTTATTTACACAAAGTGTTAGAATAACAATAAAACTGTTTAATTAGGAAAGGGTGAAAATATACATGGACATAGCTGCAAAAATCCTGAAGGGTATTTCTGGGTATTTTAGTAGGTCTTTGAGATTGTGAGGCCTGGTATTTTTAATGGGTCTAACATTAAGAAAACTTAGTCTTTTTTTTTTCCTTGACAGAATTCTACTTGCACTAGATTATGACTACCAGTCATAATTACGCTATGGTCAGATTTTGGCTCCCAAGTAAATTGAGGGGGAGGGTGCAAACAAGGAAAAGAGAGGAGTCTTTCTGAGCTAGCTGGATGAGAGGTGGTAAAGGCAGGAAGTGAGGTTACAGGAAGTGTGTATATAAGAGGGTGGAAATAATTTCATTCACCAGAATTTCTCTTGGGAAAACACTAATATATGTTGGCAGGTTCTTAGAATGAGATAGGAGAACTTCCTCCCTTTAACATTAGGATCAAGCACAACAAAAACTGGTCACAAAGTTGCATCTAATGTTCCAAATAGTATATTTAACTGAAGAGCTTTTTTTTCTATTTGCTAAGCAGTGGGTTTAAGAAAGTAATGGAGTTGGAGGTGGGGGTTGCTCATTATCTGGCAAGAAAAAAGAAGCTTAAGTGATAAACCTGAGAGGCAAGGACAAAGAGAAAATTTTTCAGTGGCAGTTTGTCCAAGGGAACTCTGAGAACAAAATGTCTAACAGGATATGAACCTCCTTCTCCACTTCTTACACACCAAAATCTTCAGTAAAGCTAGTATTACCCATGGGTATGTTTGTGTGAAGGATCCTTTGTGGGGAGCGTAAAGAGGTGCTGAGTTCTATATTAAGGGCTGGCAAGGGGTGTATGTGCCAATAAAATGTTCAAACACAGGAATCAGAAGTTAAGGGTGACATCCAGGTTTCATGTGAGAAAGATATGTTTGGGTATAATTCAATTTGAGCTTGAGCAATGAAAAAAGGAATGAGAGCACACTGCACTTGTAATCACCCATGGAAAGAGGTAAGTTAAAGAAATGATAAAGCCTATTAGAGAAAGAGGTATCTGGAAGGATGCGGAAACTGTAATCAATCGTCTTATTTTTACAGCCCTTTTCTCAAGCCAAGGGCATGAGCCTGGGGGGACACATATTGGGACACAAGAATAAACCCACTTGATGGGTTTGGGCTGTGACCAATTATGTTTCCAAGGACATGATTTAAATCAGTTATATTCAAATTCATGTAGTAATTAATAGAAAATGTATAAAGAATCTTGAATAAGGCAGTAATGCATCCACCTACCCAGAGTACAGCACAGTGTCTCGGAGCACAGCTCAGGGCTCGAGTCTTGGCTCTAGCACTTACGAGCTGTGTGATCATGAGCTTGATCATGTGGTCAAGTTACCTGACATCTCCCCTGCCCCTCACCTTTCAAATTGGTGAGTACCCAGATTGCTGATGGTTATACAACTCTATAAACTAAAGCACATTCAACTAAACACTTAGAACAGGAGAATTTTATGGTATGTAAATTATATCACAATAAAGCTGTTTTGTCTGTCTTTAAAAAAAAAAAGAGGACCCACATCATAGGGAGGTTATAAAAATAAAAATGTAAACTGTCTAGCATTGTTCTGACACATAGTAAAACTTCAATAAATAGTAGTGATTAGTATTAGCATAATAAAGAAATTAAAGAATAAAACACTGAAGATACATAAAGTTAAATTTTTTAAAAAAGAGTTGAGGAATTCTTGGGCTGGTTGAAACTTGAGATCATTTAGTTCAACTCCCCTTATTTTACAGATGA